CCCGCTCTCTCAGAGAAGACAGGTAGCACGGATGACTTGGTGGGGGACTCCAAGGTGAATGTAATTATCACGAATTGCGGTGTGATGAGCCGCCATCCGCTTCTGAGACAGGTGGAGGGCGGCTCATCAAGCAGGAGTGAAGGGCTCTCCTCGAGGGCGGCTCATCAAGCAGGAGTGAAGGGCTCTCCTCGAGGGCGGCTCATCAAGCAGGAGTGAAGGGCTCAAGCAGGAGTGAAGGGCTCTCCTCGAGGGCGGCTCATCAAGCAGGAGAGAAGGGCTCTCCTCGAGGGCGGCTCATCAAGCAGGAGTGAAGGGCTCTCCTCGAGGGCGGCTCATCAAGCAGGAGTGAAGGGCTCTCCTCGAGGGCGGCTCATCAAGCAGGAGTGAAGGGCTCGCCTCGAGGGCGGCTCATCAAGCAGGAGTGAAGGGCTCGCCTCGAAACAGAACACGAAACAATGGGTATAAATTGGATAAGTTTAGATTTAGGAAAGACTTGGGTAAATACTGGTTCAGTAACAGGGTCGTTGATTTGTGGAACCAATTGCCGCGTAACGTGGTGGAGGTGGGGTCCCTCGATTGTTTCAAGCGCGGGTTGGACAAGTATATGAGTGGAATTGGGTGGTTATAGATAGGAGCTGCCTCGTATGGGCCAATAGGCCTTCTGCAGTTACCTTTGTTCTTATGTTCCATCATCAGGAAGATGGTGGAGTGTTGAGTGAAACACCCTCCACACAGGTAGCCCCCAAGGAAGACCTCCGGGTGGAGGAGGACCTCGGGGTGGAGGTGTGGAGGAGGACCTCGGGGTGGAGGTATGTGTTGAACGGAAACATCAGGAGTGCCTCATTCACGCCCTCACCATTCACTATTGTGTGGTCTGAGTGGTCCACTTCCTTCACCTTGTTTACGATCTACGCTCATGTGTGGCTACCACCCACAGCCGTAGATCGTAACTACGGTGTGTGGCTACGACCCACAGTCGTAGATCGTAACTACGACGCGTGGCTACGACCCACACAGATAATATTTGTCTAGTATTACGTATTGGTCACGGCCTTGATGTCTCCTCTCACCCCCGTAGTTACTCAACCCTACAAGTTACTCACCCGTTAGTTACTCAACTCTACAGGTTACTCAACCTTACAGGTTACTCACCCCCTACAGGTTAGTCGTGTCCCAAGGTTACTCGTTCCAAACTTAACCTCCGGGCTGGCATAAACACAACGATTGTATTGGAGTAAGAGAGGTGAAGGTTCCGCCACGTTGATGTTATCGTACATCAACAGGGACTCTGCCTTAGAGCTTACGGGCTCACCATAGCCCGTGCTACATGGACATTCCGTTCTAAGTAGCTAAATCTAAAACAACAACAATAGGCCTTAGAGCAAGTTACAGTCCGCTCCTGTGCCAGGTAAGTCCACAAAGGGCTCACCATAGCCCGTGCTACTTGGAACTTTTTGTTCCAAGTAGCGAATCTTAAACAACCACAACAGGGTGAGAATGTGTTTGTTGGTTCGCTGGTAGTATTAGACCACTAAGATGCTACCATACAACTGCTTAAGATAGGTGTTTGGACACGTACAGCAAGACTAAGAAAGAACTTTCGTAGGTGATCACACACACACACACACTCCCTTGTGTACGTGCAAAGCAGCACGTCGATACACACACACACACACACACGCACATTCCCACTCAAGACACTCCCCCCCAACATTTCCACGCAGGCAGCCCCCCCACACACACATGCACCCCGGGACTCTCCACCATCACAGCTGGCCGGGCCAGTACCTTCACTCACCACAACACCTCACGCACCACTACACCATCTCACAACGAACCCGTTGAGCAAAGTACGCGACAAAGTACACACGTGCACGACGTAGCCAGAGATCGTGGGTGGTATAGAGCTTGGTGAATCACGCCGGGCGTGACTGGACAGTTCCGGGCGGCGGAGGCTTGGGGCAGGATCAGCTGTTCTTGGTAAACAAACATTTTGGGTGTTTTTGGCGGGAACACTACTCATGGTGTAAACATTACATGTGTGGATATTTATGCTTGCATCTGTTGTTTCATCCGGTTGGGTTAGTCTTCATCGTATACTCATCCTGTGAGCGATAGTTTACTGGGAGAGGGCATGAGGCAGGTGTGCCACACACATGTGACAACTGTGGGATATTGACGTAACACGTGACGCTCTCGACTCCCCCCTCTCACCCCAGACCCCCCACACCCTTGTTGGTCTCCACCCTCGTCACACTTAATCTCTCCCCCCCCCCCCCACCCTAATCCTCGCCCACCTTGTTCACCCTAATCCTCACCCGCCTTATCCACACATCACCCTAATCCTTGACCACCCTAATCTTTGATGAGAATCCTATCCCCTGACCATCCTAATCCCCACCCACCCAATCCCTTAACATCCACACCTCGTGTTCCCGCCAATGACGGAACAACTCTGGCGCGGGTGTGTACGTCACTTGTTTTTTTCTAACTAACAGTTAAGGCGCAGGCCAGGCTGTGTGGGGTGGACCATCGTACTGGTCTGACACCCGAGATATCCGGGGTTCGAGTCCGGATAAGACAGCATCAAGTAATAACTCTGTTTAAGGCAGTCTTTACGGTACCGGCTCGAGAATCACCCGTCCTCTCGAATAGTACATAAAACCGATATACTAAACATTATAGCAGCCCGCAAAATTGACCCGTTTTCTACTCGTGGGTCGTCAGTTAGGTTAGGTTCGGGGCAATGGCAATGCATCAGTTTAGTGATGCTGTGAACGCTGGAGAGGACTGCTTTAGGCTGCGTAACTGCCCAACTGGTTGACAAATATCCAGCCAGACGAGACGTATGTATCACGTCCTCGTGTCAAGCTGGCGACTCCACCCATGAATGGGTGGAGTAACACTTCCTCTCTGTGCACTGAGTGAGCTGTCCTTGCTGTGGACCCGGGTTCGGAGCCCCGCCTCATACCCCACACTATACCCTAGTGACGTAGGTGACGTAGGTGACGTCACAGTTACCTCACCGCATTCCTTTATCCTAACGCAAACATTTCCTGGGAAATTGAGTAAAATGTCACTAAAAGAGAGAACCGTTACTGGGTACACCAGTGCCCAGTGTGTGGGAGAACTGGTCACTGGTGTGTTCCTATACGGAGTGAAGGTAGTGGCGGTTCGGACGATATAACGACGTTCGAAGGATAGAACGATAAGATAGGACGACGTTCGAAGGATAGAACGATAAGATAGGACGACGTTCGAAGGATAGAACGATAAGATAGGACGACGTTCGAAGGATAGAACGATAAGATAGGACGACGTTCGAAGCCCGTGCGATAAGATAGGATAGGAATCGCAGGATTGAGAGACAAGATGAAGAGTGCTAGCAACTAGATGAAAGCACACAAGAGCCATTGGCCTGTCTGACCTGGTGTAAGGTTGAACCACTCACTGCCTCTCCTGAATACTTCTTCACCGTCTTGTCCTTGGGCAGTGGTCGCCACGCCCTCCACACACGTGCGCCTACACTCCACAACAGCCAGGAATACCAACAATCATCCAATACGTACTTTAAGGCCCTAGCCACGGAGCGGCATACAGGCCAGAGGCTCAGCCAGGGGAAGAGTCCACCAAGACCATGTTATTACTTGGTGTCCCTTCCTGGTGCAGACAACACCTCCAACACACTCTTGACAACATGGGTGCTGGCTTCAGCGGTGAGTGTGTTGCCGGTGTTCCGAGTGCGTCGACTTTTGTGAGTGCGTCAGCTGCCGAGGGTCCAATAACATGTCACACCATGGCAAGTATCAGCTAACACGAGTGGCAAGGTTTGGCAGCTGCCAGTATTGAAGGCTGCGAATCCACACCCTTGAATTCCGACCTTTCTCTCCTGATTGATTCACTCGCGTCGTCAATAATCCCCAGCAATAATCATCAGTTTCGAATGGTGTTGTATAGATTTATCTCACAAACTGTATTTGTATTGTCATGTATTCCAGAAGCTTCTTGCGTTTGCTTGATTTCTTTAGTTTAGAGAACTGCGTTTTGGCTGTGTGTACTCACCTAGTTGTACTCGCCTAGTTGTGTTTGCGGGGGTTGAGCTCTGGCTCTTTGGTCCCGCCTCTCAACCGTCAATCAACTGGTGTACAGGTTCCTGAGCCTATTGGGCTCTATCATATCTACACTTGAAACTGTGTATGGAGTCAGTCTCTACCACATTACTTCCTAATGCATTCCATTTGTCAACCACTCTGACACTAAAAAAGTTCTTTCTAATATTGTGCGTGCGGGCTATGTGCGTGCGTGCGTGCGTGAGAGGGGTGGGAGTCCCCGGGGGTTCCAGAATGCAGTAGAAGGGTTGGTGAACCCGCTATTGTATTGTGAACCCGCTCCCACACGCAGGTTCGAATCCCCGTCACGGCCCTTGTGGATTTGTTCCGCTATTGTAGCCTATGGGCGAGTCATTTCGCATTATACACGTGTACGCTTTGATGTGCATATTTTGACATTTTTGCTTACCTGTATTATTCTACCCTGACAACATCAATTCATTCTGGTTTGGTGTTGTATTGGAATACAACAAACCAGGGGCCAGATTCACGAAAGCACTTACGAACCTGTACATCTTTTCTCAATCTTTGGCGGCTTTGTTTACAATTATTAAACAGTTAATGAGCTCCGAAGCACCAGGAGGCTGTTTATAACAATAACAACAATTAAATGGGACGTTTTTATGCTTGTAAATTGTTTAATAAATAGGTTACATTTATTAGGTTACAATAGGTTACTTTGGTTACATTTTAATAAATGTAACCAAAGCCGTCGAAGATTGAGGAAAGATGTAAACATTCGTAAGTGCTTGCGTAAGTCCTTTCGTGAATCTGGCCCCAGGTATTGTATTGCGTTGCACGGTATTCTTGTGTATTATATTGTTGTATTATAAGCATTGTATTGTAAAAGATGTTATATTTTGTTTTATATTATATTGTATTGTGTTACAGATGGACGAGCTGAGACACGGAGAGGCAGTCTGCTGGACTGTTCCCCGCCCACCGACGGCTCCCCCCTCTCATACAGGTAAGGTACCCCCCTTCCCCCTCCCCCCCACACACTCACACGCACACACTCGGTCATACACACACTCTCGCACACACATCCACACAGGCATCAGGCATTGTAATTCATACACAGCTTCAAGTGTAGATATGATAGAGCCCAAAAGGCTCAGGAACCTGTACACCAGTTGACTGACGGTTGAGAGGCGGGACCAAAGAACCAGAGCTCAACCCCCGCAAGCACAACTAGGTGAATACATTTACGTATTTAAAATAAAGACAATTACATAATAAAATAAAGAACTCATAAATAAAAATATAATTGCAAGATATATTGGCAAGAAAATGCATAAATGTGTATACATTATATTAGTCCCATTCTGAAGCCTCGTCTCGACACGAGACCAATTTAGAAACATTGCCGAGAACACCTGACAGGCGAAATGTGTATTGTTGCTTTAGATTTAGCTACTCAGAACGAAATGTCTATGTAGCACGGGCTATGGTGAGCCCGTAGAAATGTGTATTGGCAAATTAAGGCAATACTGTATATACGAGACATTCCAGTGTAAACACAAGAGTGAACGTGGTGTGGCAAGTGTCATGGAAGGCTTGGCGGTGATAATATTCATGATAGTGAAGAAGGAACATGGTGTGCCGGAGAGGCTGAGGGTCACTGAGGACGTCTCAAGGTTGTTGCTTAAGATTCGCTACTTGGAACAAAAAATTCCAAGTCGCACGGGGTATGGCGAGCCCGTAGTGGACTTACTTGGCACAGGAACGGGGCTGTAACTAGTCTCAAGGTACTGGTTGATACCTGGTTGATGGGGTTCTGGGAGTTCTTCTACTCCCCAAGCCCGGCCTGAGGCCAGGCTTGACTTGTGAGAGTTTGGTCCACCAGGCTGTTGCTTGGAGCGGCCCGCAGGCCCACATACCCACCACAGCCCGGTTGGTCCGGCACTCCTTGGAGGAATAAATTCCTATTGAAAATATCCACTCGGGTAGCCCAAACACTTCTCGGGGAAATACCCGACAGCTGACCTACCACACCCAACACCCTCTACACAAAGTCACCTCGTCCTGATGCCCAACTTTGGTCACTCCTTCGCCTTCTTGATGCGTCCCCACGACCTGTAAACATGCCCTCCCCACCTCCCCAAGGACATCAGCTTTAGCTCTCAAGGTCTGGCGCAGGTAGTGGGGCCTCGTTTAATATCACGAGTGATTATATGACTACTCAAAACCAGCCTCGTCATGCATGTTTGTGGCTTTGCAAGAATGTCTCAATCTCCAATAAATGTACATTCACAACCCACTGTACCGTCTCGTGAGATTATATATATATATTGCAAGAAAAAGTCTAGATAGTGAGGTATGATAAATATGTTTTAATTGTTTCCTGTGTGTGTGGAAGACAACCTCCTCCTGCACACCATTCTTGCCTTCCTCTTAGTACTCACCTAGTTGTGCTTGCGGGGGTTGAGCTCTGGCTCTTTGGTCGACGACCGGGCCGCGGGGACGCTAAGCCCCGGAAGCACCTCAAGGTAACCTCAAGGTTGGTCCCGCCTCTCAACCGTCAATCAACTGGTGTACCGGTTCCTGAGCCTATTGGGCTCTATCATATCTACACTTGAAACTGTGTATGGAGTCAGCCTCCACCACATCACTGCCTAATGCATTCCATTTGTCAACCACTCTCACACTAAAAAAGTTCTTTCTAATATCTCTGTGGCTCATTTGGGCACTCAGTTTCCACCTGTGTCCCCTTGTGCGTGTGCCCCTTGTGTTAAATAGCCTGTCTTTATCTACCCTATCGATTCCCTTGAGAATCTTAGTGTAGTATATGTTGTGCTCACGTATTCCCAGTTATTGATTCTTGTTCTACATATTTGTAATTTTATGTGTTACTCTCTCACTCACACACACACACAGAGCTAGAGCTGGCTCCTGCAGGCACGAGTGAGTGGAATGCACTTAGTAACAAGTGGAATGTAAGAAAGTATAGATAAAGTGGAATAACAAGAAAGTAACAAGTGGAATGAACTGGGAGAAGTTGTGGAAGCCGCCTCCATTCACAACTCTTTAGGGAAGGATTCGACAAAGATTATGATTGTTAGAATAGTGAAGCTTTAACTCAATAGACAACACAGGCTAGGAGGCGGGGGATAAAGAGTGTATCTCACTTCCCTGTAATCTTCCCCCCCACACACACACACACACACACACACACACACACACACACACACACACACACACAGTGGGTCCTCTGGTATAACGGTCATCGTTCTCGACTCACAGTCGAGAGGACCTGGGTTCAATGCCCTAGCGGCACAGAAATGATTGGGCTGCGTATCCTTTCACCTGATGGGCCTGTTCACCTTGCGGTAAATAGGTACCTGGGAGTTAGGCAACTATTGTGGGCTCCATCCTGGGGATGCGTGTATGTAATTACTTAAGTGTAGTTACAAGATGAGAGCTACGTGGTATCCCGTCTTCCCACCACTCTTTGTGACGCTTTAGCCTCCGCCCTCCGCCACCCTCTCACTTGTTCTACCACTCTGCTAAAGTGATCTTTCAAGTGTGTGTGTGTGTGTGTAATATAGAAGATATGACGGAAGCCGATGGTTGGAAAAGTTCAACTATGTTTATTGAGATAAGAAAGAAACACATCTCAAAGGGATAGAGTAGCTTAGGCTATATCTACCCCCCCCCCCATGGTTGGAAAGGCGGGGTCCAAGAGCTAACGGCTCGATTTTGCAGGTACAAATAGGTGAATACATAGAGTAAAGAACAATAACAATCCATCCACCACAGTAAAAGGTCGTTAGAGATTAATCAAAGGATACACAATTCCTGTCCTTCATAACCTTTCTCAAATGTAACAGTTAACCGCCAACTAGTTTTTGTTGTGTGTTGATCAAGTCTTGTGTTCGCAGCGCTCCAGATACGATACTGGTGTGTGGTAATCACAGACAAGGTTAATTCTTTTAAACTGGAATGGTGCACTTGTGGAGGGAGTGGGGGGGGGAGCACTTCGATAATGTGAAGAAGCATGTTGAATTATACATGTCAAGGCATGTTGAATTATGCATGTCATGTAGGCCTACGTCTAGGAGTATTTAACATGCTTGTGGTGGCCTTTGTGCATGTCACAACTTTGATGTTCAATATAATGTTTGTTATTGCGCCAGGTGTCGACCGATGAACCAGAACTCCCCTCGCCTCCTGCCTCGCCCCGAGGACGTCTCCGTAATTGAGATCGTCGAGGATGACCTTGGTGGCAGGGAGATAGTGGAGATCGTAGAGGAGATCGAGCCGTGGAGGTCACCCGTGGCACAGCTGCAGTCACTTGGCCGTAAGGAGGAGACGCAAGAACAGAGCTACGTTATCACTGTACCTAAACAAAACAGAATCAAGAAGCCTAGGTGCCAGTCTCACCAAGTCTATGTCTCCGAGGTGGACTTGTAAGTTACTCCAAAGTGTTCTCTCATTCATTTTCCTCTCTTTCTCTGATAATATTTATTTAGGAGATACATAATACTACGCTACAGCATGCAAGTGTATGGTACTTTCGGACGCGCCTTCTAGAAAATAATTACATGACATAATTCGCTTTCTATGGGACAGGAAACCAGTGTGTATATACATACATACAGTATATCAAACCTGAGCTTTCCGATTGTGAGTCGAGAACGGAGCCAACTAACATCGAAACCAGTTTATAACAAATTTATGTTCGTAACACTTAGAATTTATTACACATTTACTGAGCTTGTTCAATGATTATTTGGAATTTATAATGTATTTTTAATAATAATAATTCATTGTGTCGGGGTACAGGCATCAAGTTTATACATACAGTACACGTTAGGCTTGTATCCAGATCTCCACCCCCTACCCCCCCCCACCCTCCCCAGGATGCAACCCCACAACAAGCTGACTAATTCCTGGGTACCTATTTACTGCTAGGTGGACAGGAACATTAGGTGATAGGAAACGTGCCCAACCATTTCTGTCCCGCCCGGGATTCTAACCCAGAATTCTGGATTGCGAATACCAAATGGATAGAGCTTAGGCTATTTCTGAGTGACCTAATTTCTATGATCTTAGGCTATTTCTAAGTGACTAATTTCTATGATCTTAGGCTATTTCTATGTGACCTAACTCCCTATGGATACATGGGGAGTTAGGTCACATAGTAAGTGGAGAGTTATACATAGTAAGTAATTATACATATGTATATAAGTGGGACTAAGAGCATGACATGTTGCAGGTGTGTGGACAAGGCGGGACACATGCACCCTGAGGCGCTGGTGGCAAGGGACGACGACTCACAACCCAAGCCTGTGGTGCCCGTCGAGGACACCACCATCATTGTGGGCTACGAGAAGAGGAAGAAGTGTCCTGCAGGCCAGATCTACGTCCCTGAAGTGGACATGTGCTCGGACATCAACCCCGTCATCTTGCCCCCTAAGTCTTTCAACAAGAAGAAGGACGGTATGAGGAAGGACAGGAGGGAGGACAAATAAAATCCACACACAGCAATAGCAACATTCTACCTTAATACAACCAGTTGTATACAAGGTGCAAGCAGCAGCAGCAACACAATGTACATAACATATTAACGAAAATTTATTTATTCACTTTTATATATAACTTTAATCTAGTTAAGTGCATTGAGGTTCCGCCGTGGTCCACGGGCGGTTTGGTGCCTGTTCACAGGTTCAAGTTCACTCTGTCCGATTGTTTGTCACTACACATAATCTCTAATCACCTCTCCTCGTTGTGCAGCTAAAGCCGTTCCCAAAGTCGCGTTCGTCAGTTTTCCATAGTCAAGAAACTGCATTTAATGAATTATTTATTAATTTTATTATTTGTTATAATTTTGTGCATAGATATACCTAGGTTAGGTTAGGCGTTTCTGTTTTGTTGATAATTATTTGTATATAGAGCGCATAGATGAAGCATTCAGAGAGGTGCTTCGAACATAGGAAATGAGTGAAACACCGAGAAAGTTCAAACGTAATAACTTGCAAGTCATGTGTAAAGTACTTCATTTTAATTTATAAACAGGGGCGGGGGACGGCTGCTGAATTATAGGATGTGCATAACTGGATTATAGTCACTATTAAGTTTTGGAACGAGTTATTGAGCAGTACACAGGCAGTGCTGAGTTCTGGAACGAGTCTTATGCGATTCCAGTACGTAAACCTAAAGGCTTATATTAAGGACCCCCTCGTAGTCTAATTACTGACCCTCCCCACGATGCAACCCCACAAGCTGACTACCTCCTGGGTACCTATTTTTCGGTTTGGCGAACAGAGGCATTAGTGATAGGCAACGCGCCCAACCATTTCTGTATCGCCTGGGAAATATGTACACTGAGAGTTTACTCAAGCAATAAATCATGTTCTGGACAAAAGTACACTTTCTGGTTGGTCAGTAACTATTGCGGTGGCCAAAACTCTCTGGCTGTAATAGCCTACGAACATTGCTGAATTATATCTAATGTTTTGATGCATTGGAATACATATCATATAATTGGAGCTTGTCTCGGACAGAGTCGAACCTGGATGCGATTGGTAACTAGTGACGATTTGAAACTAGTTACGCAACGTGTTTATTTATATTTTAGATGCTGGAGAGTGGTTTTATATGCAGTCCGTCATCAAAAGAAAGGTCCCATATGTCTGTTACATGCAGTAGTCATTATCCCTGTTTATAAAATTAACTTCACACAACTCTGCTGATGACATTCGAGCTTCTCTCGAAAATAGCTTCCCTCAATTCAAATGTTCAAAGTTCACTTCCCAAAATAAGTCACATTTGAGAAATGTAACTTCTCTATAGGCTTGGTAGGCTACAGTGTAGCCCCACCAAGCCTGGAGTAGGCTATACTGTATGTCCTTGTGTATGCTGTATGTCCTCGTATACACTATGTCTTCGTGTACATTGTATGTTGAGTATGTATGTCTACAAATTTATGTATGAATATTCAAATACCCCACGAATATTCAGTATCCTTTATCAGTGAATGAGTATATCTGCTTAAAAACAATCTTCAAGTACAAAAAAACTTTGTAATTTTTTGTTATAACTTGTGGTCTTCAATATATTATTGGAACTGGTATTCAAACGTTTTATTACTCCTGTTAAAATAAAATACTTTTATCCAAGGCAAATTTTGGAAATACGAATTTAACATATTTGTTTATATAAATGTAATATAAATTGAATAAATGGTTTAAATCATTGGAATGAATATAAAAATATAAGCATTTAATTATAATAGCAATAAAAATGAACAAAAGTACACTGAGTACTTATGCTCAACCATAGGCTACCTTACCTTCACAAGCCATTATTAAATAGTAAATGTTAAAGTATTTATTTTCTATTATTATTATTACTAATTCGTCTGTAACTACTACTGTTCTATAACTACTGATGGTAGTATTACCACTACCTCGACGAATAGACAAATAACATTAAGTATAGAGGCCTTTGGCAAATTAGTTTTCCTAAAATTATAATGATAAAAACGCAAATAAATTAAAGTTAAAGTGTTAAAAACTGACAAAATGTCAGTTTCCTTCAGAAATCTACAACTGCTCTGTAATTGCAGATAACCGGTGATAACATGACACAGTTATCTCTACAAAGCTATCCTTTATCTCAATCACGCTGTGCCTCTCTCACCACACGAGATATGGCTCTTTCGTGCCACGCTTTGGCAGAGTTCACCGACAGCTTTTGACGCTACGAAGTACCGATGTCTACTGACTAACTATGGCGGACTGTGGAGTCTCAGCCACACAAGTGTCTGATCACAGCTCCGTGTACTCACAGTGGCTGAAGGTCTGCAGAAATGGCCACCAGACGATCACTATTCATTTCATTGTCAAATTCTGAACGACCATTTGACCAGGTCACCGAGAGTGTTCAGCGTGACGTCCATAGAGCGCTGGGGGCCAGCGTCCTCACACTCTGAAATTACACACTGGTGTGCTGAACCAGTTAGGATCGAGGGTGACGCCACACATCTCACTTCTTATTGGCTACAAGTCACTCGACCTGAGGATGGTTGACGAGGGAAAGACCATCAGAGTTGTATTGAGCAACAACTCTCCGGGTACTTAGCAATTTACTGCCAGATAAACAAGGGCATTATAGTTACGGGCTCACCATAGCCCGTGCTACATGGACATTTCGTTCTGAGTAGCTAAATCTAAAACAATAATAAGGGCATTAGGCGAAAGGAAACGTGGAGTCCACGTCTAGTGAAACAAAATGAAGTCAGAAAATATTTAGAAATATACGACCAGGCTTGTCCCCGAGCTGAGAGGAATGAGCTATGAGGAAAAATTACTAGAACTGAATCTCACAACATTGGAAGACAGAAGTTAGGGGAGACATGATTACTATCTACAAAATTCACAGAGGAATTGACAGGGGTAGATAAACTATTCGACACAGGTGGAAACTGAGTACCCAAATGAGCCACAGGGACGTTAGAAAGAACTTTTTCATTGTCAGAGTAGTTGACAGGTGGAATGCATTAAGCAGTGATGTGGTGGAGGCTGACTCCATACACAGTTTCAAGTGTAGATATGATAGAGCCCAATAGGCTCAGGAACCTGTACACCAGTTGATTGACAGTTGAGAGGCGGGACCAAAGAGCCAGAGCTCAACCCCCGCAAGCACAACTAGATTAATACATACATACAGGCTGCCTGCCGCTGACAAAGTGAATTATAACTCAAAGAAGAGTGAAGACTGTCATGCTGGAGAGGTAACACGAGGCTACGTTTTGACAACACAACTCACACACACATCTGACCTTCCTGCAGGAGACACACACCTGCCTCTCTTCTTCCTTATGATACACCTGCCTCTCTTCTTCCTTATGATACACCTGCAGCTGGTGTGCCTCAAGCTTTCTCTCCTCCCAATGACTGCACGAGTGTTGACGGTGGCAACCCGCGGTGGCCAGGTCTAAATTGCTAAAAGTAGCGACCTGACGACCTAAAAGTAGCGAAATTGAAATAAGAGTAGCCCAATTTTTTTTTAGTTAATGATATTTATTTATTTATTTATTTACATACAAGAAGGTACATTGGGATTGTGAGGATACATAGGATAGTAATTACAATCTTGTAAAGCCACTAGTACGCGCAGCGTTTCGGGCAGAACTATAAAATATGGGTTTTGTGAATTGAAATAATAATTGAAATATGGGTTTCAAAGTAATATATTTTGATATATACAGTACATTACACGATGTTAATGGGATTCTTGTTGTGATTTGTGTATTTGTACTCACTGAATTTGTGCGCCCCTCTCTACCCTTGAGGGGTAGAGGGGGGGGGGGTAGAAATAGCCTAAGCTACTCTATCCCTTTGAGATGTATATTTTTATTGTCTCAATAAACATACTTGAACTTGAAGTGGACTTTAATGTTTTTCGGCAGCTTTATTTCCTTAGTTTCCGAGCTGTTTTCTTTACCGTGTATGTTGTAATAAACTATTCCTATATTTACAGTTGTTTCTCCCTGTGAAGATTATTAAACAATGGTGATTATAAGGGCGCGGAAGTTCAGCCTGGCCATCAGGGCCGCCAGCAGCCCTTGGGCCCGCCCCGGCTGCACCCAGTGTTTAATTTGGCCCCTTTGTGGCACCTTTGTGGCACCTTGGTATAAGCCTAACATGTATATATACACTGGCTGCCTGTCCCCCTACACATGATTTATTATTAACTATTATTTACAGTATACCCGGCTAAAGCGAACACAGTACAGTTTCGTCATAGGAGATTCCTAGATTGAAATTTCCTACCAAATTTCAATATATCCAAGTATTTTTAGTGTGAAATGCTGTTATTATATGCATAAATTGTTGGTTTAATAATATTACGGCCATCTCAACAAAGAACAATACATCCTAACCAGACGTTATATAATGATATTCTCAACAGTAGATAAAAGAAAATTAATTGTTACCTAATACCAGAATAGTATAAAAGCTTATCATAAACTACGGGATTTGTAGATCAGTGTTTAAAGGGAATTTGGAAGTAATAATGATACAGCTGATGCCATCTGTCGGCAGAAGAGAACACTATCAATTGGCTGGTCAATAATCGCCATACGACGCAGCTTACGCCATCTGTTGACATCAAATTACACTTATAACAAATTACCCCACAAAATACAACTAACGCCATCTCTGTTTTTTCCAACGCACTATAAATAGCCAAACAGCAACCCATAAGGCGGGTTGTTGTGCTCGGGTAGGAGGTTCCAAGCTCCGCCCACAGATGGTATGGGGTGCACAAATAAATGTTTGTTGACATTCACACAACAGCCAATCACAGGAAGGGATCAGCTAAAGGCTCCATCCACTTAATAAATCATCTTTATTCAGCACACCATCCTTGCTTATGACATTCTGATCCAACTTTAATCTATGTAAAAAGTGAAATGTTAAGTATTTAAAAGCATTAATAAAGCGATAATTAAATACTGCAGGATGTAACGAGTGTTATAGAAACATAGACTGGCTACCTAACTTGTGACGTCATCAGTGGGAGTTGCCTCACAAATAATATCGGCGATACAATGCCTCCGCCCTCTTATTGCTCTACATTATTCAGTTAGATGGAAATGTCTGTCTTGTATAAAACAGAAATTGTTGCTCTTTTGTACAACAACAAGGTTATTGAGCAAAGGACGTATTTCTTATTTTGCATTTTATTCATATAAGCGTTGGCATTCCCCGCAACAGCCAATCACAGGAAGGTATTTGTTGGAAACTGCCTTCAACAAGTTTTTTTTTTTTTTTTTTTTTTTTTTTTTTTAGCAGGGATAATCCTGCGCGGGCCCTAAGCCTCTGGCTGGCCCACGAAGTGATGCTCGTTTCTGTTTTACCTGGGCGGAGGATGAGTATGTATGACCCGTATGGTCGCTTCAGTAAGATTCAACAAGTTGATTCCTAATGAACTCTAACAATAAATTCGTTTAATAAACGAGTATTTAGGGTCAAGCTACAGATGAACATTATAGGATAACGGTGTTTTAGCTTGCAGCTTCGTTAGACAGAATCCCTGGTCTTAATTTTAAAAATAAAGAACTAGAAAGCGTATTTTATTGCTAATTTTTCGAGAAATAAATCCCAGTCTCATATTTGCGAACAGTTATTCAATGATTTTTTTTGGCTTAAGTTCTTATCATAATCCCTTTTGCAATCTCAACACCATCTGGCTCGTGTCTTGTAACTATCTTCGTTACTTAGCCTCAAAACCTTACATTTGTCTTACATATCCTCAACAGTAGATACAAAAAAATAATTGCAGAATTCTTTATACCAGCACGGTATAAAGCCTTATTATAAGCTACCAGACGTATAGATCAGTGTTTAAAGTAATAATAATACATTATTATTAATGTAATAATAATATTAAAATAATAATGATACAGCTGATGCCATCTGTCGGCAGAAGAGAACACTATCAACTGGCTGGTCAATAATGGCCATAAGATACAGCTTACGCCATCTGTTGACATCAAATTACACTTATAACAAATTACCCCACAAAATACAACTAACGCCATCTCTGTTTTTTCCAACGCACTATAAATAGCCAAACAGCAACCCATAAGGCGGGTTGTTGTGCTCGGGTAGGAGGTTCCAAGCTCCGCCCACAGATGGTATGGGGTGCATAATAAATGGCATATCATTGGTAGAAACTCTTTGTTGACATTCACACAACAGCCAATCACAGGAAGGGATCAGCTAAAGGCTCCATCCACTCAATAAATCATCTTTATTCAGCACACCATCCTTGCTTATGACATTCTGCTTCAACTTTAATCTACCTAAAAAGTGAAATGTTAAGTATTTAAAAGCATTAATAAAGTGATAATTAAATACTACAGGATGTAACGAATGTTACAGAAACATGGGCTGGCTACCTTACTTGTGACGTCATTACTGGGGGTTGCCTTGACACAAATAATGATACGCTGCTCTGCCCTCTTATTCGAGTAAATTATTCAATTAGATGGAGATTTCTGTCAGGGGTAAAACAGAAATTGTTGTTCTTTTTCACAACCACCTTGTTGTTGTGCACAAGGACCGATTTCTTAGTTTAAATTTGATTCATAAAAGAGTGTTGGTATTCCCCGCAACAGCCAATCACAGGAAGGTATTTCCGGAAGCTCGGCCTCCTTATGGACTCAGCACATCGCTCTAGCTCATGGCTCGCTGTTTCATCTCTTGTATATACAAACTATGACTTTTTTCGATTACTGTTATAATTAATAATATGAGATATAAAAGTTTTTACACAAAATGGCTAAATTCTGCCATTAAATGGACTTTGTCTGGTATACATACAAACATATACCAATTTATTACCATTCATCCATTATTAATTTCAAATGTAATGTATACTGTCTAGTTTTTTCCTCTCGCCATTACTTGGTGCAATATTTGAAACTTGTCTATTTATTTATCGCTCTATCTATTATTTTGTATTTATATTTACAAGTTTCTGTGCTTGGAAGAAAACTCTGCATTGAATTGGGACTAATTTATTAAATAATATTATTTAGTATTAATTAATATTTACAATTATTATTAATTACAATTATTTATAGCTTAGTTACTTTCATGTAACTCGCAATCGTACATTCTTAACATTAATAGCCCAAATTAGCTCATCTTGCTTTTAAATTAGCCCAAAAAGTAGCAAGTAGCGAAATTAAAAATTTGGGAGCGCGGGGCTCTCAAAAGTCGCCCAATTCGCTACTTGTAGCCCAATCTGGCAACACTGTGGCATCCGCCTCCGTGTTGATGCTTGGTCAAGGCTTCAATGTTGTGGTTTTTAAGAAGTTAGACTTGATGCTTAAAATAATAATAATAATAAATAATAATAATAATAATAATAATAATTTGTTTTCTCAAATGTACATAGATAAGATATATGAACAAAGGAAGAAACATAGATAAGACAAGTATATTGCATAAAGCCACTGATACGCAGTGAGGGTTTCGGTATAACTTAACACAAAATTTAGGTTGTTTAAAGCATACAATATTGTTCAGGACATTTTGCATGTAATATCCAGCTTTTAGGGAAGGAATAAAATGAAAAAGGAGGAAATAAATAGGAGTTATTAGGGAATACTGTGGGCCTAATATTTCCTCCAAATATGTACTCACCTAGTTGTGTTTGCGGGGGTTGAGCTCTGGCTCTTTGGTCCCGCCTCTCAACCGTCAATCAACTGGTGTACAGATTCCTGAGCCTATTGGGCTCTATCATATCTACACTTGAAACTGTGTATGGAGTCAGCCTCCACCACATCACTTACTAATGCATTCCATTTGTCAACCACTCTGACACTAAAAAAGTTCTTTCTAATATCTCTGTGTTCGATGTGTTCGATGTTGAAGGACATTTTGAGGGTAATACGTTCTTGTGTGAAATTAATTCTGGTATTGTGACTTCTCAAGTAAAGATAATAATAATTGCGGTTACATTAAAAGACTCATTTAGTTTTAGGTTCGTTATGCTACGTGCTCAGTTTTCTATGAAGAAAAGTTTTCTATGATAAAGAAACTACAAAATGGGGTTCGGAGGATAAGCTTAATAATTAATTTAGATTACATTATAATTTTTTTCTCATTGACAACAATGGGTGAAATTTACCCGCGAGCGACTTTCTCCCTAGTGGCCTCGACGTGGGCAGGAAGCCGGCGGCTTGTCAAAGGCCCCCATTGTTTATGATGGTATCAGCAATAACAACTTTGAATATGTTAGATTCCTATGTATGTTGCAGTCCCCGTGGCGCTGTGGTTTTTTTTTATTATTATTATTTTCTACCACAGACGTGGCCACACATTTACAATGCTAACCAGGGAGCCGGTCGGTCAAGCGGACAGCACGCTGGACTTGTGATCCTGTGGTCCCGGGTTCGATCCCGGACGCCGGCGAGAAACAATGGGCAGAGTTTCTTTCACCCTATGCCCCTGTTACCTAGCAGTAAAATAGGTACCTGGGTGTTAGTCAGCTGTCACGGGCTGCTTCCTGGGGGTGGAGGCCTGGTCGAGGACCGGGCCGCGGGGACACTACAGCCCCGAAATCATCTCAAGATAACCAGCATATATACATTTTCTTCTATCCTCCATGGACAGGGTTAGAGATGGGTTAAACATATAGTTCAAGGGTTTATTGAACAATCAACCACAGGTGATTCGGTGCTTTTAAAATGCTAAGCTAACCTACATACGTAAATACATAGATACACAGATTTTCGTATGCCCTACATAAAGTCTTAGATGTGTCTTTTACATAGTGACATTAATGTGCATTTACAAAGGTGAAATGTAATTCTGATCAGCTTCCATATATATTTTATACACATACATATACATACACACATACACATATACGTACATATACGGTGCAGTGGTGAGATACTCGCCTGGCGTTCCACGAGCGCTTTAACCTGGGTTCGTCGTATCCTGGCCGGGGAGGATTGACTGGGCGCCAGTCCTTAACTGTAGCCTCTGTTCACCCTTGTTAGACGATTTGGCGGGTCGTATTCCCGGGAAAAATTTGGATTAAAGATCTATCCGAAACTATGTGTGGTAGTGACTTTACAAGAGTGTAAGAACTCTTGTATATATAGATAAATAAATAAAAGATTAGATAGGATTAGACATTTATTAACGAAGAGACCTGTTTAACGAAGTCGATTTATTAACGAAGTCCTGTTTAATTTGAAGCGTGGATACAACAGTAATATTGACACAGTAGACAACTTTAACTGAACTTTTATGGATAAAGAATTAGGTCAATACTTATTACACAGCCACTATAGTAGGCCTAGAGATTAGAACAAGTTTTAAAGTTATGAACTTTATCCTGATAATAGTTTAAAACTCAAGTAAACGTTCAGTATACATATTTTGTATGAATTTAATCAGTTTATTATGGAGGCCACGTCCATCCTGTGGGTGTAGGTAGCAGAAAAGTTACATGGGGTCCCGCATGGACCTCAGTTTATTGACCTCTTAGCAAAGCAGTTTACATTTGAAGTGAGGTAGTGGAGTTTAAGTATGTTCTTTGAGACAAGAAAGAAATACATCTCAAAGGGATAGAGTAGCTTAGGCTATTTCTACCCCCCAAGGTAGTGGAGGTCATCACTACATACAGGCGTGGGCGTGAGGCACCACCCACCCTCACTACATACAGGCGTGGGCGTGAGGCACCACCCACCCTCATTACATACAGGCGCGGGCGTGGGGCACCACCCACCTTCACTACATACAGGCGCGGGCGTGGGGCACCACCCACCCTCATTACATACAGGCGCGGGCGTGGGGCACCACCCACCTTCACTACATACAGGCGCGGGCGTGGGGCACCACCCACCCTCATTACATACAGGCGTGGGCGTGGGGCACCACCCACCCTCATTACATACAGGCGTGGGCGTGGGGCACCACCCACCCTCATTACATACAGGCGCGGGCGTGGGGCACCACCCACCTTCACTACATACAGACGCGGGCGTGGGGCACCACCCACCTTCACTACATACAGGCGTGGGCGTGGGGCACCACCCACCCTCACTACATACAGGCGCGGGCGTGGGCGTGGGGCATCACCCACCCTCACTACATACAGGCGTGGGCGTGGGGCACCACCCACCCTCACTACATACAGGCGCGGGCGTGGGCGTGGGGCATCACCCAGAAGCCTAGGGAGGTTGGCGGGAGATGAAGGAGTGCCGGGGGCAGGGGCGTGGGTGTCAGATCTGGCAGGTCTCCTTCAGGCGTCATCTGCAGCAGTTGACCGTTCAACATCACTTGCCTGAACGGAGGAAATTGATGTGGATAATTATTGATGATAAGAGTGTATTCGTGTGAACATCTCAGATCACTTAATTGATTCATTGTGAGTCGTTGAAGAGAGAAGAATTACCAGAAGTCTGGAAGACTGCAAATATAGTGCCAATATACAAAGAGAAACATAAGAAAGTGAACTACATGTCATGGTCCTTAACATACCCTTGAAGGTCATAACAAATATTAGAACAAAAACGTTATTAGTACAATCTATACGATTGAAGAATCTTTAAATGGAATCCCAGATTGGGTTCAAGGACGGAAAATCCTCCCTCACAAACCTAATAGCTTTTGACAGAGCTGCAGAATGCACATATAATGCACCATTGCGCATTGTATGAGCAGAATGCAGAGTTGTGCAGTGTGAGAAAGAGGCAGACATGTTACCTCACATGACACTTGCAGCAGAGTGAAGGGTCAGTGTGAAGACAGGAGAGAATGGAGATCGTGATGGCGGGTTCAAACAGGGGGGCGGTATTAGGTTAGCTCATTTATTATGCACCCCATACCCTGTGGGCGGTAGTGGAAAGAGTTACATAGGCACATAATGGGCTCAGGGACTGAACCCAAAATGTCTTCCTTGAATATATAAGATCCCTGTCACATACCTGGACTGTAGGTCCCCATCTGGAGGAAGCAGCAGGTACTGGAGGAGAGGTGAAGTGGCCAGGTGGCCCTCGAGCCTCACCTGCGTCGCCTCCTTCAACAAGTTCATCCCGAACACCACCACAGCTCCTGTAGAGGAATTGTAACATTAGCACAACAACTGTGGGGGGATTGTATGTAACATTATCTCATTGTTCCTGTAAAGGGGATTGTATCATGATGAAGTTATGTCTAGTTGGTTAAATTTTAGAACAAGGGATCGAATAAGATCACGTTGTTTGATCACGTTCACTATGTATTAGGACCATCGGTCAAAAGATACTTCAAGTGGTCAGGTGTTGAGTCAAATAATCATATTTTGGGTCAAAGAATTGAAAAGCCAAGTGTGGGGTCACTGTTTCAAATATTAGATAAAAGAACCATTAGATCAAATATTAATTATAGTCATATCTCGTAATGACATTACAATTTCGCTAACAAATCTACTGAGCCAAATAAATGAATATATAACCTATCGACTTGAGAATGGTCCAGGACGGACCGAAACGTCGTCGTCCCTTCACCTTCTAGTGTGTGGTCTGGTCAAACATATAACCTATTTATATTGATCAATACATTAAGGGATGATATCTGAAAGATAAGCAATAGATGTTATGATGTAAATCAGCACCTTAGAGGGGTGCTAATTATGTGGTTCTCACTCCCTCGATTCTCAATACTGATGTCGATTCAGAGATGAACTGCCATAGTGGCAGAACAAGCTGAGTGATCATGTTCACCAAGGAACATGAACATGATAGGTCTTACCTGGCGTGTGATCAGCGGTGATGTTCCTGAGGCAGTGGGCGTAGAGGCGTGTGGTTGGCGGGACCTGACGGAGACGCAGACGAAGGACACGGCCTCCTACAAGCCTCTTGTAGAGTACTGAGAGCCAGTAGTCCTGCAGGAGCCGGGTGGTGGTGTAAGGGAGGCCACCGGGGGCGGGGGTCGGATGCGTAGTGGGATTAAAACAGATATGAACATATGAACATAAGAACAAAGGTAACTGCAGAAGGCCTATTGGCCCATACGAGGCAGCTCCTGTAACATGATTAATGTTACTTCTCTCTATTCCAACTTTATGGTTTTACGCCCGTCTTTTTCAGTCTGATATATTCTGTACAACTCTGCCTATGAATCTCAGTCTCCTACACTCCCTCTTCCCTCCCTCCGACCGACCGCTCCCTCACCGGGTTAGGGACTAGGTCCATAGAGATGAGGGCGTAGCATCCCTCGTACAGCGTCTGTCTGGCTACTAACTGGATTCCGCCTCCTTCATGGCCACCATGGTCCTGGCCACCATGGTCTCCGTCACCGCCGGCCATGGTCGCCGCCACCCCCAGCTTGTCCAGCCAGAGGAAGCCGCCGACGTAGGCGTCACTCAGGCCTCGGGCGCCCCCGCCGTAGGCCGACCCCGTCTCCGCTGACAATAACAACATTCTTTATACTCAATATTGTCTGCAAAACTGAAAGTCAAAGTTACAGCACTAAGAGAGGATGTATATAATGACGACAATTAACACGTGATGAACAACGTGACAGTGTCACACCTCAAAGGAAGGATTAAGACAGGAATTTCCTTAAGTACTTTCGTATGTAATAATACATCTTCAGAAGGATGGATTTACAGATCAGTAGGTTGGATATAAAGGTAGGAAAGAGGTGAGGTGAGGTACAGTGAGGTACTCTGCCCTTCACCACCTTCCCTACTCTTCCCCTGCGCCCCATTACAGTAGAAGATGGAGTGAGTACTTACTCAGCCAAATAGGAGTGCCAGGTGAGAGGTGATCCCTAACACCAACAACTTGGTCAATCTGCCACTTGAACTGGTCCATGACGGCGGGTGAGAGGAAGTCGTCCACTTGAGCGGTTCTGCCGTCCAAGTAGTACCTGAGGACGGTGATGAGTGTGAGGTGAAGGTTGGTGTTGCTGGTGCTGGGGTAGTGGAGGAGGGGTCGTGGCTGGTGCTGGCGTAGTGGAGGAGGGGTCGTGGCTGGTGCTGGCGTAGTGGAGGAGGGGTCGTGGCTGGTGCTGGCGTAGTGGAGGAGGGGTCGTAAGTGGTGCTAGGGCGTGGAGGATGGTCGTAAGTGGTGCTAGGGCGTGGAGGACGGTCGTAAGTGGTGCTAGGGCGTGGAGGATGGTCGTAAGTGGTGCTAGGGCGTGGAGGACGGTCGTAAGTGGTGCTAGGGCGTGGAGGACGGTCGTAAGTGGTAGTGAATAAGTGGACCACGGTCGTGTGTTGTGTTGGGGTAGTGGAAGAGGGTCGTAAGTGGTGCTGGGGTAGTGAAGGAGGGGTCGTGGGTGCTCGTACAGAAGTGGGTGTATCTCCGTGACATACAGTAGTGTACAATAAGTGTTGAACATGACAAACAACAGTGACTGTGTGACAGGCTGTGTCATGAACACATCCTTCACAACACATGTGTCAACATCTTCAGTACCATGTGTCGCTCTTATTCTCGGTCATATGTGTGTACCATTTTATTATATACTTAAGAGAAGAATTTGTAAATTACAGTAATTGGCTTGAGTGGTGTTCCCGCTTAAGATCAACACGCCGAGGTCTCTGAAGAGTGTGCGTGTGCGTGCGTGCGTGTGCGTGCGTGCGTGCGTGTGTGTGCGTGTGCGTGCGTGCGTGTGTGTGCGTGTGCGTGCTGGGAGAGGATTGTGTTCATGAGTACTTACTGATGCCAGGAGAGCGCGCTCAGGTTGAACTTCAAGGAGCTTAAGAACTCTCGCAGGAACGCAATTGATTCTTTACCAACTCCTAGGAAGATAATATTAATTAATTATATATATATATATATATATATATATATATATATATATATATATATATATATATATATATATATATATATATATATATATATATATATGTTAGGCTTATATCGATATATCCCCCCCCCCCCCCACCCTCAGGGTCGAATTATTGACCTTCTCCAAGATGCAACCCCATAACAAGCCGACTGACGCCTGAGTACCTACTTACTGCTAGGTGAACAGGCGCATTAGGGGGATAGGAAGCGTGCCCAACCATTTCTGTCCCGTCAGGGATTCGAACCCGGAATTCTTAATTGTTGATCGAGAACAAACCCGACTGTACTAAAGGGACTCTCTATGTATGTTTATATTCATTATAACTGGAAATTTATATATAAAAAGAGTTCCTTGCATTTCTGTGACACAAAATAGGCTTATAAAAATACAAAAATTATTGTTATTTTGAAATCAAACCTTAGCCTGATAGCTGAGTGGACAGCGCTTCGGATTTGTAGTCCAGAGGTTCCGGGTTCGATCCCCGGTGGAGGCGGAAACAAATGGGCATAGTTTCTTTCATCCTAATGCTCCTATTCTCCTAATAGTAAATAGCTACCTGGGAGTTAGACAGCTGCTACGGGCTGCTTCCTGGCGGATGTGTAACAAAAAAGGAGGCCTGGTCGAGGACCGGGCCGCGGGGACGCTAAACCCCGAAATCCTCTCAAGATAACTTCAAGATAAGAGGAGTATGCATACCATCTTGCGCCAGAGGGGAAAGCTATTAGGGCGCCCTACTGTAGTCACTGTACAAGCTCCTCAGTACCATGCACTTACACACAACGTATCAACAAATAACGTTGATCAATACCCACAAGATGTGCATACATAAGCAATGAACTAGACCAACAATAATATACACAGTACCATTGTATAGTTCCTGCTGGCCTCGTGGCTTGGGTCTGGTGACGTCTGGTTCCTGTTGGCCTCGTGGCTTGGGTCTGGTGACGTCTGGTTCCTGTTGGCCTCGGGGCTCGGGTCTGGTGACGTCTGGTTCCTGCTGGCCTCGGGACGTCTGGTTCCTGGGTCTGGTGACGTCTGGTTCCTGTTGGCTCGGGGCTCGGGTCTGGTGACGTCTGGTTCCTGTTGGCCTCGGGGCTCGGGTCTGGTGACGTCTGGTTCCTGTCTGGCCTCGGTTCCTGATGACCTTGGGTCTGGTGACGTCTGGTTCCTGTTGGCCTCGGGGCTCGGGTCTGGTGACGTCTGGTTCCTGCTGGCCTCGTGGCTTGGGTCTGGTGACGTCTGGTTCCTGTTGGCCTCGGGGCTTGGGTCTGGTGACGTCTGGACCAACAACGAGAGTGTGATGGGGACCGGGGAAGTACTGGTCCAGCTCCTGACGCAGCTGCAGATAATCCTGAGCCGCCTCCTGGCCCGTGACGCTCCAGCCGAACTTGTGACCATACGCGTTGGGTTCTGTGGACACGAATACAAGAGTTTTGAGTCCCGTGTTCCGGCAGATGGTACATAAATGGCTTTAATTAAACAGAAACATATAAATAGTTCGTTAAATAGCACAAAAAGTCTTACTGGGGCTCCATTGCTCTATATATCACGCGAGCGAAGGTACTGGTCCCAGCCACGTCGTTTGGAATGGTCAAGTATTTAAACGGTACAGCTTGGGGGACCAATCAGGTTTATCATTTGTTAAATATACTGTGTATGTGTATCTTCACTTTAATAAGACTTAATCAAAATCCTCAGATTAGGCAAAATTGTAATTAATTTTGTCAATAAAGATGTTAATTAGCAATTTGTATAATGATAAGTGGACTGTATTTCTGCAATAATCTCTTAATCTCACAAATCGATCCTCTACACATTAGGGGGGGTTTATATTTATATATATGCAGCCAATCAAACTACTGTATTAACTACATACATTGAAAAGGTTCCTTATCTTATAGTACAGCAGGTTAGTCCACCAGGTATAACTAGGGTGTAGACACCAAATTATCCTCTTTGAGGTAGCTTCTATCACCCAGTAACTGGTGCACATAATCTTGCATCCTCGTCTTGACCTGTCAAAAGTGCGCTAGCTGTGAAGCCAGAATCCTATATATGACAAGTATATCAGAGAAAACACTATACAGTACATGGAACATTAAAGACCTGGCTTAATTACCTTTAGTATGAGGCGATTTCGCGTTCTAACCGGCTAACCCTATATCCTGACATTAATGGCCATAAATGAATGATAAACGGGTTTCGGATAGACACTTAACTTGTATTTGTAGACAGCGTGTTGACAATGGTACACCTTTGGGTTCCATAACACTACGTCCAAGTAAATTTAACAGGAGCCGAATTTGCTCCCGTGTGAGCCTCTGGTCTCAATAACAATGGCTGCCCTCCTTCCCCACTGACGCCTGGCCTACTTTGTCCAGATTTCAGAAAGTGATAGAAGGGTCACATTTACTCTACTTTAATATTGATAATTAAGTTAATTTATATAAGATGTTTTTATGATGGTAAAGTCCAAAGACTAATGTATTTAAGAATAATTCCCAGCAGAATAGCTGGTGAATTATAATAGTATGTGGTGATGATATCCCGTTTTCTTTAGATGGTAATTCCACTACAAGTTACGTTTTCTATGGGTAACTTGTTGGTAATACAGCAGCAATTATCTGTCTGTATGATATTATTATTAAATGGTGTCGGATTTTCCGACATAATTCCCCAGGGGGCTGCTCACGGGTCGAAGTCCTATTTAGAACAGACGAACACCGATACTCCTCCATCGAATTATTACATTAATTTGATGTTAGTAGTTAGTAATCACACATTTGTGTGTCTGTTCGTACAGGACGGATGTCCCGTACTAGAGTTGCAGGGGTTAGAAGTCTAATGCGATTTCATTTCCCTGTCAACTCTTGAAAGGCTAATATTCAAGCCTTATTACATATTATTTAACCCAGAAGACTGGATGTGATCAAGTACTACAGTCAAGTATGATTCAGGGACTGCAGTGAGATCAGTGACATTAGATATAACTTGAAGTTTCTTCAGGTAACTGGTCACTGATATATAAACACTGAGGCCCATGGAATACATCTTGATTAAATAATAAATGTATCAAATCAGTCATCAGATTTATTAGGGTTTAATTTAGTTAATTGATTCAGAAGATTGAATAGCTCATCATTAAAGTAAAGTATGGTTCTGAGACTGCAGTGGGTTCAGTGACATTGGTCGCAGTGACTTGTAGCTGTTTTAGGCTACTGTTCACTGATTTGCCACTGAGGCCTCATGAACTCATCTTCAGCTTTAGATGATGATACTAACATCAACCTCTGTTACTATAGTCAGCTGTAATCTCCTTAGTATAATGCTACTGGAGAAATATAATCAGCTGACAAATTTAGGTTTCTATTGGTATTGTTTATCTGCAGGCATAGGTCTCCTCAGGCTTGATACTGGGCCTGAGAGTAATTTACCTCCTGCAGAGTTTAACATGGTTATACCCTGATATTTAGTAGGGCTACCGATGAATCGATGGCAATAGTCTGTCCCAACAAGGAGACCGAAGTCAGTGAGGTGATCAGACTTAATATTATCTGCCAATTTTATTCCTCTATTTCTCAGGAATTTGGCTGTTGCTCTCAGACCTTGAACTTGTAGGTCTACTGGTATTTTGTCCACCACAATGGCTTGTACTCGACAGACGTACCTGCCTAAACGTACTGATGGTTGTACCACCTGGTAGACTTGAGGTCCTGCATCTGTTATAAACCCTGAGATATTGAATGACATCTGGGCTACAGGCCTTAATTGTAGTTCTTCTGCCAACTTTTTAGTGATATATGTTCTCTGGGATCCTTGGTCAAACAACCCACGGGTATGGACCTTGGCCCTCTTATTCAGGATGGTAATTTGGGCAGTAGGCAAAGTCGTATTACCTTTAGACTTTGCCGATTGGACACTCTTTGTTTGTTGCACCCTGCAGTACTGTACTGTGGTGGGAATGCTATCTTCCACCTTGGGGTTTGGAGACGTTGTTTTGGTGTCTCTGCACAATGCTGCATGGTGCTGACCTTTGTTACACCTATTACAGGTGTGTAATTGGGTCTCACAGTCGTTGATGTTATGTTTCCTGAGGCACCTCGTGCAATGTTGCAAATCTTTGAGTCGCTCAACACGGGCGTCACTATCAGGAAAATTAGGGCAGTGGTACATTGAATGTTTTTCATTGCAGAACAAACATGTTCCATAGCTTCCAGTACCCTTTGGTGTCACGTTCTTGGATGACACAGTAACTATAGGCTTGGAGGGTCCCACTGCATATACGCCCACACTGCCACTGTTCCACTTTGGTGTTGAATTATATTGTCTAGATTGATTTGGAGTACCTTTGGTACTCTGTGGTTTACTATTATTGGTTTCTGATGGTTTACTTGGTGGTTTTAATTTGTCATGTGTTCGTAATTGATGAACTACTGACTTTAAACCTTCAGATATTTCATTCATGGATAAGATACTTTTATTGTAATGAGCACTCATTTGTCTCAATATGTCCCTAGGTATTTTCTCCTGGACAATTATTTTCAAGACCCACTCAGCCCCGTTTGTGTCTGCTGTCAGGCTGAGGGCATTGATCATTGATTCTATCTCCAGCTTGAAGACTTGGAGTGAATCAGCTGAAGCCTCCGGTGGGGGTAAATGCAACAGCTCATGAACTAAATGTGATGTTCTTACTTCTGGATCAGCATAATTATCCTTGAGGAGTTTTACTGCCAGATCATAGCCGTCATTAGTTAATCTCAGATGGGATACTACTGTTTTAGCCTCACCTGATAATTGGCCTTGCAAATAAGAGAATTTACTACTCTTTGGTAAAGATTGTTTTGAGTCTACAAGGTCAACGAATTTGTTCCAAAATTCGTCCCAATCTTCCTCATCTTTTCCTGAGAAAGTGGGTAAATTAATTGGAGGGAGTCGAGCTTCTGCTTGACTCGTATTAGATGCAACTGTTGTTGTTGTTGCTGCCTTGTTCTGGGCAATTAATTTGACATAAGGCTGTAACGTGGCCTGAGTGTGATCTTCATAATTCGCAAGATCAACCATAATGTCGTCTATTTCTGTTTCTGATAAATTGGTGTTGGCAAGTTCAGCCACATATGTTGCTATTTGACATTTGATTTGCTCAAATTTACCTGCAGCTGCTTGATAATAGCTTTCCAGGTCAGCATAATCAACTTGAGATTGTTGTGACAAATCTTCACATTTCTTGATCTGTCTTGTTAAGTGGCCTTTAAGACCTGCAAGGGTTCTTTTTATTCTCCCTGCATTATCCATACTGGCTCGTTGGTAAAGCCTTGTGGGGCTTGTACTTGGGCTGCTCATAATACTGAACAAACACTAATGGTAGCCTAGGGTAAATTCTGAACTCACTAGGCAATAATCCTACCTCTACTAGAGGTTAGCACTTAAAATTAATACACATTATATATATACAATCATCCACACTAATGATTTGAGTGATAAACCAGTGTCATGGAAGTACCTATAGGTTAGCTCTTCTATATCACCCTAGGATGGTAGAGACACTAATTAATCACTCAAAGGTGTAATGATCATAAGTAAATTATTATATATACAACTCAACTCGAGTTGATAAAAATTACACCCAAAATAGGGTTTGGACCATTCATTAATGGTGTTAGGTTGTTCAATATAGTACAACTGACTATTGTAATAATGGGACTAGGATGAACAATAATAGTTCAACTAGTCATATCCTACCCTGTTGTGGGTTGGCAATTAGTAAATATTATACTGTGATCACTAGTGCAATATATATTAAATAATTCTCTATTTTGGAGAAATAATATACACAATTATTGTTAATAGCCTCTTAATTAGCCTCTATGAAACTTCTAATATTATCTAGAAGTATTAAATGTTATTAGTGACCTCGCGAAATAAAGTCCACAAAATTCGTAGATAATCTCTCGCGAAATGTAACACCACGAAATCCGTGAACAATCTCGCGAAGACACAGTCACTAATTTGGCTGGATTCTATATTAGCGCTGTCATTTCACGAAATAACACGCCACCAAATATCTGTGGGTGTGCATGAAACCGCTGACGAAGCTGAACTGGGCTGAGGGAGGCTCCTGAGCTCCCTCGAGGCTACGCTGCCGTCTTGACTGCTGGCTTTGTTTAAATAACACTGCACTAGCATATTTAATGAATCCACTGGTTAACTGGTTCATCCGGTACTAAGATGACCAAATGTGGGTTCACAAGGATCAAATAATCCGTCATCCGGTTCGAAGATGACCAAATAATGTGGGAACCGACCTGTGAGATTTATATTTATTTAATTTATATGAATTTATATTTACGTTAATTTATATACTTCGATAGCAATTTGTATAATGATAAGTGGACTGTATTTCTGCAATAATCTCTTAATCTCACAAATCGATCCTCTACACATTAGGGGGGTTTATATTTATATATATGCAGCCAATCAAACTACTGTATTAACTACATACATTGAAAAGGTTCCTTATCTTATAGTACAGCAGGTTAGTCCACCCGGTATAACTAGGGTGTAGACACCAAATTATCCTCTTTGAGGTAGCTTCTATCACCCAGTAACTGGTGCACATAATCTTGCATCCTCGTCTTGACCTGTCAAAAGTGCGCTAGCTGTGAAGCCAGAATCCTATATATGACAAGTATATCAGAGAAAACACTATACAGTACATGGAACATTAAAGACCTGGCTTAATTACCTTTAGTATGAGGCGATTTCGCGTTCTAACCGGCTAACCCTATATCCTGACATTAATGGCCATAAATGAATGATAAACGGGTTTCGGATAGACACTTAACTTGTATTTGTAGACAGCGTGTTGACAATGGTACACCTTTGGGTTCCATAACACTACGTCCAAGTAAATTTAACAGGAGCCGAATTTGCTCCCGTGTGAGCCTCTGGTCTCAATAACAATGGCTGCCCTCCTTCCCCACTGACGCCTGGCCTACTTTGTCCAGATTTCAGAAAGTGATAGAAGGGTCACATTTACTCTACTTTAATATTGATAATTAAGTTAATTTATATAAGATGTTTTTATGATGGTAAAGTCCAAAGACTAATGTATTTAAGAATAATTCCCAGCAGAATAGCTGGTGAATTATAATAGTATGTGGTGATGATATCCCGTTTTCTTTAGATGGTAATTCCACTACAAGTTACGTTTTCTATGGGTAACTTGTTGGTAATACAGCAGCAATTATCTGTCTGTATGATATTATTATTAAATGGTGTCGGATTTTCCGACATTAATAATAATAATAATCTTTCAACCACCGCCCACAGGATGGGTACGAGGTGCATCAGAAATAAATGAAATAGTACTTATATGTACGAATATTCACACTTTGGGCTGATTTAAGTGTTCAGTGCGAAGACTGGCACGTGGGAGATGTGGTAATAGTGATTGATGATTGATGAAGATTAAGCCACCCAAGTGGTGGCACGGGCATGAATAGCCCGTAAGTGGTGGCTCCTTTGAGCCATTACCAGTATCATTAGCTGATACTGGAGATCTGTGGAGGTGCGACTGCACCCTGCGTGACGGGAGATGTCTCCCGTGGTAATAGTGTGAAATACCAGACCCAAAGATGAGTTACCATTGCCGAGCTGCCAGATGAGTCGAGCTCCTCTGGCGGCAGCGTCACGCATCAGGAGCCTGACGTTGCTGGGGTCCCAGGAACCGTCCTCAGCACGGTAGAACTGATTCACATCAAACAGCAGTGTCATTCCTGCTGCCTCTGCCAGCCCCAGCAGTTGACTCCAGGATTCTCCTGTCCACGAAACACAGTATAAGTTATTCACATTCTAACTATACAACCTAGGATTGCTAGCGGTGCTGGAGGAATAGATCTACAGCTGGTCAAAACAAGTTTAGGTACACAGCAATGTGCTGCTACCTTATTCTGTATGAAGGATTACAGAGTGTAGATCACGAGCTAGCTATGAGTTCATCTAATGTCCTCCATTTTACAATATGGTTAGTCATAGATGGTATCAGGAGAACACGTGAGATGCTCGTCTAGCCTACTACAGTCGCTCACTAGCAATCTCTGGGTACAGCACAAGAATATCTTCCAATATTCGTCAGCGTATGAAGTAGTTACAAAGCTCTAGATTATTTAAATGTTAGTTATAAGTCGTACGAAGCAAGGCAAGGGAGTCAGTAATGAAGTGATAATTTTGCTAGTTTCAATTCATTTTAATTGTTTCTTCTAAACGGCAAACAAAAGTATATCAAACAAGTTTATCCATCAGCCTCACTTGTCATTGTGAAGTTGGTGAAGGTTGAGGAGTCGTGATCAGTGTTGCAGGAGCGGTCATCCAGGCCGCCGTCTGGATGACGTCCATCCCTGACGTCACTGTGGGCGTCGCCTTCAGACCTGGAGACGGGACTCCAGTCTGACTGGCTTCTGGAATGCTGGTACTTCGTCCATATGGTGTTGCTTGAGTAGGTAATGTCCCTCTCGTCTTCAGTGGTGTTGTCAGCGTGGCTATTCCTACTGTCGGATCCATTCCTATCATTTTTGAGTGAAGGATCTCCGGATTGGTCGTCCTCTAGGACATGGCGTGAGGGCACCGGGGCGCCAGTGTCAGGTCTGAGCAGCCCGTCAGGAGACGAAGGTAGCTGCCAAACCCTCGGCTCGTAGGTGAGGAAGTTGGCTGCTGAACCTCCCATCCTGAGGATGGCCGGGGCCAGGGCTCGGGTCAAGGTCAGCACCAGAGGGGAACTGAGGACACAGGTCACATCAGGTTAGTCTGGGTAATGTGCTCCTTGGTTTGCTAAGTATGCAAGTATTTGAATATCTACGAGGATGTGTGTGTGTACTACTGATGTCCCACCTGGTGTTAAAGTTGAACCACTGGTGTTGGATCAAGCGGGGGCCCAGAGCCACGCTTAGGAAGGTGTCAGGCACCTCCCTCACCACCTGGGCCTCGTCCACGTCTGCCACGCCCGTCTTGACCACGCCCGTCTTGGCCACGCCCGTCTTGACCACTCCCACTTTCCTCCAATCTATCGTGAAGAGGGAAGAAAGTAGCGGTGAGGACAACAGCAGCAGAGCGACCTGTTCGCTTATCACAGTGTATATATGATATATGTATAATATATATGGAATTAACATATTGTACTCTCCTAGCTGTGCTTGCAGGGATGAGCTCCTGGCTCTGCCTTCCGACATTCTTAGATTAATGCAGTGACTGAGTTCCAATACTTCCCATCATATTTACATTTAAAACTGTGTATTGAGTTAGTTACAACCAGTTCTCGGTCTGACATATTCCGAATATTAACGACTCTAACACTGAAACAAATTCTTATATCGATAACTCAAGTGTTTACAACAAATACAAATATTTATTCAGGTAAAGTACATACATACAAGGTGAAATACAAAAGTTGTTGGATTTATAGATAGAGGTAGTACATACAATGCCTAAAGCCACTATTACGCAAAGGGTTTCGGGCAGGTTTGACTGGTGTTCATCTCTGGAACATTGTTCTATTGTTCCAAGTATGTAGAGGCAGTGTGTTGTGTGTTCCGTCGTGGTCTGGAGGTTGGCAGAGTGTAACTTGGTGGTAGTTGGCTTTGGTGTGTGTTACGAACCAAAATTCCCCGCCCGAGCACGAATTCCACGTGCTCGGGCGTGGAATTTTGGTTCGTAACAGTGTGGTTGACGTGTAATGCCTCGCCCATGTGAACTCTTGTGTTGTCTCTGTATCTGTCGAGTGTTTCCTATAGTCAAATACCACACACAAACTTGACTGGTTTTTTATTTACATTACGACTTTAACTTGCTTAATAAACGTCATCTAATCAAATCAATGTCGCGTACGAAGTAGAGCCTGGTCCATGCACAGGATAATTATTCAAACACCAAGAATATCTAGAATTCAAACAGAAAATCATATATCTGTATATTCCTGTACCTGAAAGATTACCTGTAATATATAACTACATCTTTAACTAATTATGGGTAATGTGAATCAATTCCATCCTGTTATACTGTATACAAAAAGCAATTGTGAACGAAATATACTTATTTTTGGTGTGCGTGATGCGTGAGCTGCCCAGAGAGTGTTGAGCAACAGGTTCTGAACCTGTCGTTCAAGCTGCCTCTTGTCCTCTCCTGCAGGCACTCTTCGTCTGGAGTGCCTGGACACCATTCTCACTAACTCCTGTGCCAGGAGTGTCACTCGCTTCTTGTGGTCTGGCTTGAGAAATGTCCTCTTCATAGCTCGCAAATGGTCGTTAGGCGAGGGAACGAGGCTGGCATGGCTGGGGTAAAACTCTTCCTGAATATGTTCCAACCACTCAATTAAATTGCAGGTCTCACTCATCCGCAGTAGAGGACCCTGAAATTTTGTGATCCATTGTCTGGCTCGATAAATCACACGGTGGAAATTGTCCTTCACTTCCGTTATGTCGTGTCTGTCAGTGGCAGCTTGGAGAGTGTAGAGATCTTCGTGGGCCTCGTCCACCCATCCCAGGAGACGAGTGTAGGCCTTGCACCCTGGAAGGTGCTCCTGGAGGCCCTTCCGGAGACCCTCCGTCACTACCGCTCCCTGTAACACTTGCAAGCACGCCCCAAGCACCAGCAGTCGCAACATGCCTGTGATATCTAGCATTGATTGATAGTTAATTACAATGTCCACTTATCCTGACACTATATAGTTCAATATCCTGTATTCAGGTATACTGTGTCGAAATTTTCTTCTTTGACGGGTCTGGCGTTCACCGCCTGGGGAGAGGAGTATCGACCCGTCGGCCCACAGTAGCTCTCAAGAGCACTGTGGGAGCCGGGGCGGGAGGGAGCAGCAGTGGTGGGTGGGTGCACTGAGCGGGTACACCCACGCGGGAAGTTATAAGTGGCTTGTTAGTGTTGGAGGTGATGGTGGTGGTAGTGGTGGTTGTGTGGGGTAGGGGTGCCAGTAGTGACAAGTTACTGGTCGTCGTGGGTGTACTGGTGGTGGTAGTTTGTGGTAGGAATACTGGTGGTGGTAGTTGTGGGGGTATGAGTAGTTGTGGTCACGGATGGGGGGGGGGGGGAAACGCCTCCACTCGCTACTAATGTCACATCATGTTGTCGCCTCTCTTCTCCAGCTCTACAATGGTTTGTTTATTACCAGATCTCTCTTGTAATAAACTGTCTCTCTCTCTCTGTCTCTCTCTGTCTGTCTGTCTGTCTGTCTGTCTGTCTGTCTGTCTGTCTGTCTGTCTGTCTGTCTGTCTGTCTGTCTGTCTGTCTGTCTGTCTGTCTCTCTCTGTCTCTCTCTCTCTCTCTCTCCCTCCCTCCCTCCCTCCCTCTCCCGCTTCAGCTTCACTTCCTGTCACCTGTTTCCGTACCTCGTGTCACGTGACCTTCAGGTATCAGCTGACTCAAACACCGTTGACCTATTTTTCAAGATATTTGCATATATCAACAGATTTATATATTTGTAAATTATGTTACCTGCCGGCTAGTCGAAGATACATTATAGTTTTGTTTTTGTCAGTGAATGTTGCTTTGTTTCACGGGTAAGTTGACGCGCAGCACACGGACACAATACGTCTCTTATGTTTATCAAGGTCATCTTAGCCAAGGGGGGGGGGGGCATGTGAGAGATAATCCATCAGTAGGTAAAATGTTTATCTACCATCCAGTTACTAGCCTTCGTGGATGGTATTTACCCTGACTGTGCAGACAATAACGTACTCTACTAGTATTTACCTATTATGTCCACAGGGTCCAGCAATAGCTCCCTAGCCACGAAATTAACATTTGTTAAACAAATCCACAAGGGCCGTGATGAGGGTTTGAACCTATGTCTCAGAGGATCCCAGAAGTGTCTTAATCTGTGTTTAACTATATTTGTTCTTCATATTGCGTGAGTGACATCTATATTAGTTTTCGTCGCGGCCTTTGCCACTGTAGGAAGTCTGAGAGGAGGGGGAGGGGTGAGTGGGCCTTAGAGGGGGTGACACAGGTGTAAAGAGGCAGAGGAGTACAGGTGTTATGGCTCTTCACACCTGCGCTCCACCATAAGTGTAGCGAGGCTGGCAGAGATCGGAGCAC